CTGAGGAGCGGCTGTCGCCCGTGAGAGAACCGGGCTCTGCTGTCCTCCCTGGCCCTGCTCGGCTCGGTGGAGAACAGTGGCCACAAGGCTGCTCCTGGTCTGGCCACACAGCCACGTCCCCGCCGTGCCGCCACAGTGAGCCCAGCAACCTCCCTGTGCCTCAGCTCCCGCTCTGCAAAATGCAGACGGTGCCTTCCTCGAGGAGTTCAGAAGGAGGAGGCAAAAGCTGGGGCAGTGTGTAGAAGGTGCTCGGTCTGCCTTTGGCCTCAGGAGCTCCTGGGGCAGGGCCGAGGTGACTGCAGCGTGGCTGGTGCCATCGCTGGAGGAACTTCCGGCCCATCTCGAGGCTCCCCGACTTTCCCTGTGCACACCCAGGTGGACCTGGGGCTTCGGGGAGCGAGGCTCCAGCAGCTGGCAGTGGAAGCTCAATTCCAAACCCAAGGAGCCTGTGGCATGAGAACACACGATGATGCTGGTGACCTCGTGAGAACATGTGACGATGCTGGTGGCCCCATGTGGACACTGGATGGTGCGGGTGACCCCGTGAGGACACGCGATGGTGCGGATGGCCTCGTGAGCTCCCAGGGCTCCTTCCCGGGCTCGGCTCTGGGTCCCACAGGAAATCAGTCCAGGGAGGTGCTGCCCCATAGCAAGGGCACAGATGCACCCTGCCAGCTAGAGTCCGGGCCTGTGTCTCCTACCACAGCCCCTCAGTCAGGCACAGAGGGGGCCCCAACTGCCCCCAAAATGTGTGCAACACAGGCGCCTGTCTCTGGAGGAGAAACAGCCAATTTCCCAAGGATGCACATCAACGCTTCTGAGATTAGGGTTTGGGAGAAGGAGCAGAAAGGAAGCTGGAGTGTAAGTGAAGATTCCCTCCGAGGGGCCTGGCGTGCTCCGTGGGAGCAGAGGCTGGAGGAGTGAGCGCTCTGCATGTTTGGGGAGACGGGGCTTCCTGTTGGCTTTCATCCTGACTCCCAGGGATGCGAATTTCTTTAATAGGATGTGGTTTCTAAATTCCAGCCAGCTAGTCCTCACTAGGAGCCCAGCCCTCTGCTTAATTTGGAGGGCCTCGGGGAGCCTGGCGGCTTGGTTGGCCCCTGCCCAGCTGTGCTGGGGAGGGAAATGGTGGCAACAAGAGCACTCTGGGGGTGGGGCATGGGGCCTGCGATCGAAGGCTTCCATGCAGCAGGGAGGGTGGAGAACTTCAGGGTGGGCCTGGGGCCAGGATGGTGTCTGTGGCGGCTGCCTGGTCACTATGTTCTTGGAGGAAGAGGACAGCTGCCAGTGTGGACGTCCGCAGGCAGCGGGGGCAGCTCTGAGCTTGTCCGGTCTGGGGCAGGGAGAGAGACCTCCCCTGGGGGGAAACCCACGTCCAGCAGGGCCTTGCTGATGGCTGCAGGCCTGAGTGGGAGAGGACTCACTGCACCCCAGGGAAGAGATGAGCAGAGGTCCTGGTCAGCTGCCTCCAAGTCCAAGGTGGCTCCTGTGCTTCGGGCCGGGCCGGGCCTGCCCTCACCATCCCCTCAGTAGCCACAGGTGGAAGGCCTGAGCTCAGACCTGCCAAGGTCCAGGCCGCCGCAGCCCCCAGGCAGCTCGGAACCCGGCCCCGCGGACTGGGACATTCACACCAGGCCCTCGGTTGCAGCCTGGACGCCCCTAGGCAAGATTTCCATTTGCCTTCTGCTCGCAAGCCCCTGTCAACTTGCCTTTGATCTGCAGCACGAAATGGGCCACACTCAGGCGCCCTTGCTGCTCCCCTCATCCTGATGCATCTCACAGGAAGACCCTGTGGAGGAGGATTGAGCCAGGTGGGGAAGGGCAGATGCCAAGGAGGGTCTGGATGTGCCCAGGGGCCCATGGTTCCTGTGGACTGAACTGCCCCTGGGGTCAGAATCCAGTTCAGAGCCATCTGTCCCCAGGACTCTGGGGCCATGGGGTCAGCAGTCCACGTGTCAGAGGGCCCCCTACCCTCAGACCAGGCCTGATTCCAGAGGCTGAGGACGCCCTCAGAGCCACGGCCCCAGCGCCCAGCATCCCTCAGCTGCTGACCTGAGGATCCTAAACCATCACTCAGAGCTCAGCCAGCTTCCTGGGAGGAAGCAGACGGCTTCTGCACACTGGTTCCATTAAAACATTTTAAGATGGGAACCCCATTTGAACCCGGGGTTCAAAATGCATTGACTCAGCCCAGCAAGCCCCTGCTGCATGCCGGCTGTGTAGACACAGCATCAAGGGAGTGACGGCGTCTGAACGTGACAGAAGGTGGCGGGGAGGCGGGCGGAGCATGGTGCAGGCCCGCACAGGCCGGAGGACCCTGGCCATCCCACCCACCCCCGTCCCCAGGCCGTGTCCCCTCTGCGATTTCGTCAGGGCTTCGGGCGCCGTCTGTGCCCCCGGGGACCCCATGGCTTCACTGTCTGATTGGGTTCGTTCTCCACTCTGCCATCTTTTCCATTGTGTGGGGTTTGTTTTATTGGGGTCTTGATTTCTTTCAGTTGGCTTCATTGGTGGATTTGATCCATTTTCTCTCTACCATGTCAATGAAAAGCCATCCAGTCTCTTGTCCAAACAGGCGTACTTGTAAGTATGGCCAGCAGAATTTGCTCTGCGGCCAGCCTGGCCAATCTGGCGCTCACAGCGAGAGGCTGCCTTCCTTGGGGGCCTCACCAGGCACCTGCCTGTCTGTGCTGCCATCCATCCGTCCATGCATCCATCCATCCTTCCAACCATCCATCCATCCATCCATGCATCTTCCATCCATCCATCCATCCCTCCGTCCATGCATCCATCCATCCTCCATCCATCCATCCCTCCGTCCATCCCTCCTCCATCCCTCCATCCATCCCTCCATCCATCCATGCATCCATCCATCTGTCCATCCCTCCCTCCCTCCATCCCTCCCTCCCTCCATCCCTCCATCCATCCATCCTCCATCCCTCCATCCATCCCTCCATCCATCCATCCGTCTGTCCATCCATCCATCCGTCTGTCCATCCATCCATCCGTCTGTCCATCCATCCATCCCTCCCTCCCTCCATCCCTCCATCCATCCCTCCGTCCATCCATGCATCCATCTGTCTGTCCATCCATCCATCCATCCATCCATCCCTCCGTCCATCCGCCCCCACTCCTCTAAGTTCTGCTTCGTGCCAGGCTCTGGGGTGGTACTGGGGGTGCAGAGGCCTAGGGCCCAGTCCCAGCCCAGAAGGTCAGAGCACAGCAGAGATGGAGCCTGTGGGAGGCGTTTGGGTCCAGGAATTGGCTCTGAACCAGGGGCGCAAAGTGGGCCTGAAGAGCAGGCAGCATGGGGGTGCTGCAGCGGTCTCTCCATGGTGGGCAGCTGGGAGCACTGGTTTCCTATCTGGCAGAAACAGACTTCTTTCTTGAAAGGCAGCATCCACAACTCTGCAAACCCCAGACCTTGGGGTGGGGTGCCAGGCCTCCCAGCTGCCTCCTCTGAAATAGCTTTTGCCAGACAGCCCACCTTGTACACAATCCTAGTTTGGGGCTCAGAATAGGCGGCTGCACCTCCCCTGGGCTACCTGGGTCCCCAGAGACACCTGATGCCACGCCCCTGGGTAGCCCTTGGCCCTTCTGTTCTAAAAATGAGGGCTGTCATGGCAGGGGCTGTGTGAGTTAGCAGGAGCCCAGCTCCCATGTCGGATAATGGGGAATAAAGGCCTGAGCAGGGCTGGGGTCACAGGCAGGTCCTGAGCCAGGAACTTGGGCACACGCCTGGGCTGGGCAGGATGCAACACACCAGGTGGACCTCAGGGATTTTCCCCAGGCTGAGGAGACTATGAGAGCCCCCACCCAACTCCCAGCCCCACAGCCCAGACCCCACTGAGATGTCAGCGCAAGACACCAGCATGCCCCCAACAGGGAGAGGCATGGGTGGGGAGCCTCAGCCCCACCCACCTTCTTTCTGCCAGAGGCCTAAAGCCACCCACTGCTTGGACTTTTCCATTTCAGGTTCTCAAGGGGAGGGGGCAGCAGCTCCCAATGGCCACCCCAGCCCTTCGTCCCCAGGTGCTCTGACCTTGTCCCCACAGGCCTCTATAAGTGACAAAACAGCTGATCTTGCTCCTGCAGCCTCCAGCCTCAGCGACCCACCTATGACAGTGACAGGAGCCCCCAGGCCTTAGGACATGCCCCACCCAGCACTTCCCAGGTGGCTGGCAGCGCCTGCCCTGGGTTCAACCAGCCAGGGTGGCAGGGCAGCACCAGGGCTGGTTGAAGCTTCAGGAGAGTTTGAAATTTCCTTTCTGTAAAATAAAACATACAAAAGATAAGGCAGAGCCCTGCATGGCCATCGCCTCTGGCAGCATGGGGCCACAGCTCTGTCCCCAGGCCATAGTCTCCTTGAGATGCCCCTCCCTCAGGGGCCCGCCTGGGGCCACTGGACCCTCGGGCTGCACTCACCGCTACTGGGGGACAGCAAGGTGGGAACAGCACAGCCCCCCAGGAGGTCAACATGAGCCCCAAGACCCCTGAAGCGGTGAGGGCCCCAGCTGAAGATGGAGGGCACCTCAGCTCTGAACTCGTGCCGGGCAAAACCCCACCCCTCCCAGGAGCTGAGGCTGATGGAGTCCAGGGGTGGGGGCCAGGCTTGATTGGGAACAGCAGAGCCAGGCCTCACGACACAGGGCAGGGCACCTGGTGGTGATGGGTGGGCGGCACCTTTGTAAAAAGGGGTCTTGGGCAGACGGTCCCAGAGGATCCCCAGGTATCACCAAGTGGATAAACAAACAGGAACCTGGCCTCGACCACCCTCGGGAAGATGCTGAGCTTGGGGAATAGTTAGGGGTACAGTCTCAGGTGGGGCCTGAGGCCTGCTTATTCCAACAGTCATTAACATATGGAGGGTAGGTGCGAGGGGCAGGAGGTGAGGGGCCCAGAAGGGGTGTCCGAGGGAGTGAGGGGAGCTTGGAGAGCCGCCTGGGGAGGCGTGACCTGTGTCAGAGGTCGGGTGGGCGGGGAGGCAGCTAGTGGTGGGACAGGCTGCTGAGCGTGTCCAGGGAAAACCCACTTTATTGATACTCAAAAGCATCCAAACAGGGGCAGGAAAGCCGCCCCCATGCCCAGCAGGGCTCCCTTCTCCACCCCGGGCTGCGGTCGGGTAATCGGGTGGGTTGGTGCTGGACGGGCCCCAGCTCTGCTGTCCTCAGCAGGCCCAGAACACAGTGCAGGACGGGCAGAGGGGGTCGGAGGCCCACCCTGCAGCCCACCTGGGCGACCATGGCACCTAGAGCGAGAGGAGGGGCAGGCGAGTCGTGGCTCCCAACGGGGCCTACGGAGCCAGGGGCCTCAGGTCCCAGAGTTCCCCGCCCAACCTCTGTCCCCCGCCAGAAGATCTTCAGACACATCCCGGGCTAACTACAGAGGCCGTCACGGCAGCCGACCCTCGGCCGGCATGGGGCATCCCACCCACTTCTCTAGGAACTGGGGTTCACACGTTCCCTTCCCATGCAGGCGCTTCCTCCAGGCCTGGGCCCCGGGTTGAGGCGCAAGCCAGCCCGCCCTGTTCCCCAAACGCCCCCAAAGCCGGCTTCCCTTGACCACTGAGGAAAATCAAGGCTGAGGGGAGCCGGCAGGTGTCAGTTAATACAGGAGGCTGCTCCATGGGGCCCCCAGGGCAAGGTGCCAAGAAGGACCTGCCGGAACCTCAGCGTCCAGGGAGGTAGTAAGGTTGATGGGCGCTGACGGTGTGGCGGGGCCGGGGGGTGGGGGAAGGACCAGCTGTCCCACCCCCTGGGAAGGGTCCCCATGGTTCCGGGCTGGCGGGGCCGCTTTGCAGGAGGGCTGGCTGCGTGGGCACCGGGCGCTCACCTGGCCTAGGACAGGAAGGTGCGGACGCGGCTTCGGACGGGCGCCCGGCAGATGGGGCACAGCTGCAGGCTGGGGGCGCACTCGGCACAGACCAGGTGGCCACAGGGCACAAAGACGATGGACACGGCGCGGTCCAGGCACACCTTGCAGGTCCTCTCCTCCTGCAGCCGCCGCAGCTGCTCCTCCATGTCCCCGGCCCCGGGGGGCTCCAGGACCCACCACGCCCGCCAGGCCTGGGTTGGACTGGTTCCTGCTAGGAGACAGAACTGCGAATGCCCCGTTGCCCCGGCCCCACCCTCTATGGGCCATGGAAGGTGGGCGTCATCCAGCACCCCAGGTGCCATCGCCCCTCCCCCAACCCAGCCCCACCCTGGGGGATCCTGGACCTGTACCTGGCTCCTGGGCGCCTTCAGACTGGACTTCTCTTCCGGGCGTGGGCAGCTCTGGGTCCCCAGGGGCAGGGGCTGTGGACAGTTAGCATGGATTTGAGGCCTTGCTCCCAAGGGGAAGCCGGGCCGGCTCAGAGACAGATCCACAGCCTGTGGGGTCCAGTTCTGGCCAGGAGTGGAGAGCTTCAGAGCACCCCTGCTCCCACACCACTTCCCAGAGCAGAATCCAGAGGCTTCCTGGAGGGGCCGCCAGAGAGCCTGCCCCTTGTCCAAGGCAGTGGCTGCAGCCGCTGTGTGCTGGGCACTGTTGGGGGTGGCTTGGCGGGGGGGTGGCGTGGCGGGGGAGGGAGTGGCAGGAGGCAATGGGCTGTGCCAAGTGGTGAGCTGGGGGGAAGCAGAGTTCGGGCCTGGCGTTGTCGGGAGGCCCCTGCTGCCCCATCCCCGTCCTCATGGCACAGCCCCCATAAGGTCCGCCCTGGCAGCACCTCACACCCAGTCACATGCCCATCACTGTCCTTGCTGCCCGGCAGGGTGGGGATGCCCAGTAGCCTTGGTGAAACACAGGCTGTGGGCGCCTGAAGAGGCAGCCAGGGTGGTGTTGGCTCTCACCTGAGGAGGCCACGGAGACTGCGTCTTCTGGTTCTTCCCACCGGTCCTGGAAGGAGCCAGAGAATGTTGGTGCCTTGGGGAAACAGGAGGGGCCGGACCCCATTGCCACCCGAAGCCCCAAGGAGAGGTGGCGCTCACCCAGGAGCCCAGCAGCTGGGAGTGAGCCTCCTGCACGCTGCGGACAAAGTCTCTCCCTTTAGACCGGAGCAGGAACTGACACCTGCAGATGCCCCCAGATGCAGGTTGGGGCTCCGAGCCCCCGCTGTCGGCTTCAGCTCTTGGAGCCCCTGGGGCCAGGCTTGGGCCCTCCTCCTGCTGCCCTGCAGTGGCTGTGGGCTTGGGCTGGGGGGGCTGCTTTGGAGACGCCTCATGGGCCTTCAGGGTGTTTCCGTGTGAGAGGAATTTCTGCCCCAAGCAGCCCTTCCCAAAAGGGGCCCTCACAGGAAAAGTGGGTACCTGCTGGGCAGAAGCACCATCCACAGAGGGGCCTTCCCAGTGCCCTGTGGGGCCGGGGAGGCAAAGCAGGCCTGGGGTTGGGTTGACAGAGCCCTTCGGGGCCCACCCTGACCCGTGATCAGACCTAGGGCGCCGGGAGCAGCCGGTACCTGGGGAACCATCTGGCATGCTCTGTCCAGGGGTCGTCCCCGCGCTTCCAGCTCTGCAGGCCCCCGTAGCAGAAGAAGCACCTCACCTTGTCCTGCTGGCCTGGGGTGTGGCAGAGATGCTGGCACCAGCCAGGCCCCACCCAGCCCCAGGGCCCCCACTGCGTCCTTCCAAGGCTATGAGAGCTTGGGGTGGAGGGGTTGGGAGCTCCCAGGTGGTAACAGGGAGGAGGGAGTGGGCAGGGGGCTTGGCGGGTGATGTCACATGTACATTATTTGCATCAAAGGTGAAAGGGACAAGGGTGTCTGGGTGCCAGGCAGGACGGGTGAGAAGGTTCAGGAAAGGACTGAGCTAGCATTTGCATTGTCCACAGAGTGAGAGGTGGGGGCCCCCCAGCCTGGCACATCTGCCCTGGGGCTTCAGGAGTCAGAAAGGCCCCTCCCCAGGTCTCTGCTTCCCAGAATGGATTCCCAGTGAGCAGAAGAGGGTCGGCTACCCTGGAAGGCCAATCTGGTGCCAGGCTTGGTTTTAGGAACTCATGCCTTCCTTTGGGGGCAGAGAACCCCTCACTGCTCTCCCTGCTGGCGGCTCCATCCCCTCATGGCAGACGTGGGGTACGTCACCTGGCAGTGCCATCACAGGTCTGGGCTACAGCCGGCGCTGGACCTTTAGGAGCCCCAAAGAGCCCTGCTCCGCAGCTGCCACGCCTCCGGCCCGGCCTTCGCCTGCTGAGCCTTGGACCTCCAGGGAGGTGGGTGAGCTGGGCTGGCCCCTTCACGCTGAGGCTCCTGACTGTCCCAGCCACAGTCCCCACCCCAGCTGTCTCACGTTGGTCTGGCCTTCCCAGGACGGTGCTCCCCAGAGCCCGCTGCTGACGATGGGCAATGCTGTACCAGTGCCTTAAAGCCCTGCGGCCCTGTCCGCCGGCCAGGAAGGGGCAGAGCTGGGACCTGAACTCAAGTGTGGCCACATGGTCCCAGCTGTAGGGCTGAGGAGCAGGCCCAGGCCAAGGCTAAGATAGGGGCTCCGGGGGCTTGGTTCAGTCGGGGAAGAGCAGACAGTGGCTGCGGGCTGGGGCCTGGAGAAATTCCCCACAGATTGAGCGGCCAGGACCTCGCAGCTGACCACTGCCTGCCTCAGTCACCCTGATCTGTTCCTCAAACATCTCACCCTGTGCAGACCAGCGGTGGGGGGGAAGGTGAGGGCCCCAGGCAATGTCAGCCGCACCCACTTCTATCACAAAGCGGTACTTGCACGTCCAGGTAGCGGCCTCCACAGCAAGACCCCCAGACTGTGGCCAGAGGCAGCCCCTTCTCCTGTCCTACAGTCTGACAGCTCGGCCAGCAGAGACTCCAGGGGAAAGTGTCAGGCACCAGGATGTGACCACTGAGGGGGCTTACAAGACCATTCGGTCATCGGGCTGGACCCTTCCCGTTGGCGTATGGGTGCTATGGAGGAGGCGGACCCCTGGGCTGGAAGGGTCCAGAATTGTGCCCAGGCCCTCGGCAGGAAGGCCCCGTACCCCAGGACTGACCTGTGTGGAAGAAGCCGGCGGCGGCCAGCTGCTCGGGCGGCACCCCAGCGGTCAGCGGCCAGTCGTAGAAGGAGGCCAGACGCAGCTCCTCAGAGCCCATGCCGGGGAAGGCGGGCCCCCTGGGCGAGGTGGCCCCAGCGCCCTCCTCCTCTTCCTCCTCTGCCAGGGGCCGCAGCTGGCCCAGGATCTGCCCGTCCACGTGGTCCCAGGCTCTGCAGTTGTCCAGGCCCAGGACAGGGCAGCACAGAGTGCGGGGGCCACGGTGCTCCTCGGGGCTCAGCTCCGTCCCACGGTGCAGGCACTTGGCACAGTCTTCAGGCCCCATGGAGGGAATGGTGGCTCTGGCCAGGTCTGCAGCAGCAATGGGGCCAACGGCCAGCCCCAGAGTATGCCTGGCTGCCCTTCTGCAGCTCCTGACCCCCACACCCACCCGGGGACAGCAGGGATAGGCACGGCCTTGCCACCAGACACCCTGGGCAGGGAATATCCCGGGGCCGACCGCTTTCTGGAAGAGCCCAGGGTGGCCTCTGTGGTCACATGCTCTGTGCATCGGGGGCGTGTCATGGGGCCCCTGGCAGGGTGTCAGGTCCTGCTCACTGCACGTGGGCAGACAGTGTTTCTCTGAACCAGAGGGGAGGGAACTGAGCATGGAGACCCCTCCCCAGGCTGCTGCCTGCCCCGGGGCTGTGGGGGAGGGAGATGATCACTCTGGGGTCAGGTGCCCCGGGAAGCCTCTGGAAGCAGAGAAGGCTCAAGTAAGAACAGATGGACTCTGCTGCCGTCCAGGCAGGGGCCGTGAGCCCCCACCTTGCAGGGGTGACTGTGGCCACACAGGGCCTAGTGCTGTGTCATTCGGGGCTGGGGCAGGAGGCAGGTTACCCGGGTGTCCTCTGAAATATCCCTCTGTCCCACGGGGCCTCCACAGGTCTGGGAGCAGCTCTTTTCCTTAGGCCATGAAGATCAGAGCAGACAAAAGGGCCTGTGCTGCGCTCCCCTCCCCCTGCCCCTTCCCATCCCTCTCTTCCCCTCCTTCCCCCACCTCCCCCCACTTCCCCCCATCTCCCCCACTTCCTCCATCTCTTCCACTTCCCCCATCTCTCTCCAGTTCCCTCTATACCAGCCTCCCCAAGTAGCCAGGAGAGAGGCTCTGATGTCCCCAAGAGAGGTGCATCTGATGTCCCCAAGAGAGGTATGTCAGTGTGGGCACTGGGATTGGAGCTCTGAGGTTGGCTGTGACTCCGACCGCTGGTCCAAACTCCACAGCTGTGCCATGCTGCCCAACTCCCAGTGAGGGAGCAGGGAGGGGGACTTGACCCCAGAGAAGCCCGGGGGTGGAACAGGAACCCCAGGGACACCTGGGCGGGACAGAGAGGACAGCTGGATGGGCCCAGGCCTTGCCATCCCCCCACCCCCTACTGAGCCCTACTGAGCCCTCAAGCCCGGCAGACCCAGCTCATCCACCCAGCTGGCCCTAAAATCCCCCTGTCATCCTTCAGCCACTCTCCCCTGCCGCTCCATCCTGGATGGGGACGTGCAAAGTCACAGAGTTTGAGGAATCAAGAGGAGTCACAAATTTTGGGGCCACTGGTTGCTGCAGGGAGTGCAGGCGGGCAGGAGAGGGTTAGCTGCAGTGAAAGCCATCCGCCTGGAAGCCTGGCTGGCAGGGCACCAAAGAAGCCGGCCAGTCCCTCATCGCATGCCCTGCAAGGGTGACAAGAGAATTGCTCCCATTTCGCTATGATGGTGCCCTTGAACTCTAGTCTGGGGCCCTGTCTCAAAACAAGCAAACACCAAACAACATTAACAAACCCAAGCCACACATTCCTCCGGAGAAGGATTTGAGGTTCCCTCCTGGCTCCTTCAGGGACCCTGTGATTAACCCTTTCTCTGCTGCAACCCAGCATCTCAGCATATGGACTTGCCGTGAGGGAGTGTCTTACCAGAGACCAGTGGGGCTGGGAGGGAAGAGAGGTTCCCTGCAGCCAGATGCTGGCTGGCTTTGGGGTCCCCTGGGAGGGCCCCGCCAGGACAGTGTGCCAAGCCCTGTGCTAAAGCCATGGCCACATTCCCTCACTAGATCCCCTCAGTTAGCCTTTGAGATGGGCACAGAGGCTCAGGTATGGGCATGATGAGTTGGCCAAGAGCGGAGACGCAGGCCCAGGAAGCCTGTCCAGGGAGGCAGTGGCGGCCACTGCGGGGAGAGGGTTCACTGTGCCCCACAAGGGGTGGGGCCGGGGCCACAGAACCTGATGGGAGGCGGGGCTTCTGCGCCTTCTTCATCAGGAGAGGGAGAGGGGGAGCGTGGGCAGCTCTTGTGATGGGGCATGAATGATCATCAGGGAGAACAGAGACAAGAATTGACTTGTAAATGATTCCCTTTGCAATGTGAACCGTTTCTGGGGGTGGATGTTGTTTCCGGTTCGGGTCTGTCGAGAGGAGCTCTAGAGGAGATGTCGTCTGGGGACAGGGACGGGTCTGTCCAGGACCATCTCTAGAGGAGACGTCATCTCCGGAACCGGGACGGGTCCGTCCAGGACCATCTCTAGAGGAGACGTCGTCTTGGGGATGGGACGTGTCCGTCCAGGACCATCTCTAGAGGAGACGTCGTCTGAGGACGGGGACGGGTCCGTCCATGACCATCTCTAGAGGAGACGTCGTCTGGGGACGGGGACGGGTCCGTCCATGACCATCTCTAGAGGAGACGTCGTCTCGGGGATGGGACGTGTCCATCCAGGACCATCTCTAGAGGAGACGTCGTCTCGGGGACGGGGACGTGTCCGTCCATGACCATCTCTAGAGGAGACGTCGTCTCGGGGACGGGGACAGGTCCGTCCATGACCATCTCTAGAGGAGACGTCGTCTGGGGACGGGG